TTACGTGTTCTCCATTCTGCCCACGTATGTATATAATAGAACAACGCACGGTCATTGGTTTATTTGGTGAAGAATCAGTCGAGTTGGAGAGCGGTCGTCGAAGAGAAGAAATTGCCGATAGTAATTGTACCAGAGTAGGTAGAATAACATTGCTGTCAGTAGAATGATTGAAAATAGAACAGTTGTGTTAAAACAATTTTCATTAATACTTTATTATTGTAAAGTTGTTGAATAAAATAAAGAGTTTAAGTAGGAATATGGAGATAGATGGTTACAGGATATATTGTCGCCTGGTTATTATATTATATTAAAATACATTATGATTTATTTAATGAATTATTGGTAAACCTTAAAATTACTAATAATAACAGTCAATACCACCAAAGATCGTGCCGCCAATGACTGCCGATACACTAATTTTGGCCAATGTCATCATTCAAAATCGCACAACATATTTTATTATACTACAATACAGGCTTATAGTCAGTAATATAATGCATCACCCAGCCGTTCAGTCTACCCATATTCCCTGTTTCAAAATATTTAATTTTACCGTACAGTCTGTAGTAAACACAATACAATAAGAAATTACACTGAAAATTGTTTTACATTTTAATGTTTCTATTAATCATTTCTACTTTTGCTGTGTGAAGTGACAGTACTACTACCTACCTAGTACCTAGTACCTATCAGCAGATTTAATATAACCGATTGTTATCTCCAATATTTGGTAAGTTGCATAATAACAAAATAGTACTATTATGTTGTTTATAATATACATACATTAGACCCAGAGACGGAGAATTTGGTGTAAAAAGCGGTAAGTGGATGAAGTGGATGTCGCTCTGCTGTACATTAGGGGTGGGATGGACCTCGTCAGAGTAGGTCACCGTAATGTGTTTGTTAATTTTAATGCAATGATAGGTATCATTGAATACCGAAAAACGATTCTGAACGGAGATGATTTGTCAGTCTAGGATATATTATATTTAAATATTGTTATTATTTTATTTTAACGCGTGAATTTGGATTTCGTTAAAAATGAAACACTCGTAAAATTTTTTTAATTGAATAATCATCAATTTTTTTTATAATTTATTATTCTAAGCTCAACTTATGGACAACCTAGTATTAAATTTTCAATTCTTAGCTTTTAATCAAAAATGATTTATACATTTTTAAGTACAGAATAATTAGCAAATATTCATGATTTTAACGAATTTTGTCAATGTATGCATTTCAAACATTAGTAAAAAAAAATTGTGCCTATGTTTTTTTATAATTTTTGAATGACAGTAAGAACAACTCATGTGGAATCATTTTCATTATTTTAGAATTATGAATTCTCAAGAAATTTCTGAATTTTTAAATTCGAGTTTTGCAAGTTCACTTAATGATTTGTCTACTGATCAAAACAGCGTAATATGCAGTACGCCTATACCGACTGACACGATCGACGATTCTTCTGTTGTTTCGTTTCCTTCTACTTCTAGATCTACGACAAGTCAATCTTTAATTCATCCATTTATGACAAATAATTCTAAAAATGCAGTTAAACGGAAATTAACCCACGATACTGGAGAATATATTTTGGTGCCTCGCGAAGGAAAAAGTGACACGTGGAAAAAATTTCAAAATGTTATGCAAATCGTTCAAAATATTGACAACCCTGATTCTCCCGAACAAATTTTAACAGAATATGTTGCTTGTATAAATTGCAAGGAACTCTACGGGAATAAATCAGCGACAGCTACACTTAATAGACACAAATGCAGTTTAAATAAAGGTTTGCAAAGATCTATTGATATATTTATTGAAGAGAAAAGTAAAAAACAAAAAATAGTACCAAAAGAATTAAAGATAAAAGCAATTGAAAAATGCGTTGAATTTTGTTGTATGGATATAAGATCAATGTCCGCAATTGAAGGTGAAGGTTTGAAGAATTTGTGTCAGTTTTTATTAGACACTGGTAGAAAGTATGGACCAATTGACATTTCGGACCTTTTTCCCCACCCGACTACCATATCAAGACACGTTGAAAAAAGTACTAAAGAAATCAGAAACAAACTTTTTAAAGATCTATTTTTTATTATAAACAAAAAATATTGTGCTTCAACCTGTGATATATGAACTGATAATTATCGTAAGAATAGTTACATGTCTGTAACTCTGCATTACATAGATGATAATTGGGAATTAAACTGTCTTCTACTTAAAACTGGTTTATTTCCAAGTAATGAAGTAAAAACGGGTGACAATATAAAACGTTTCATGTTGAATTTTTTTTGTGAAATATCTGATGCAGCAGATGAGCCAACATTTGATTTAATGTCAAATATAACTTTTGTTACCGACCAAGGTTCCAATATGTTAACAGCTCTCAGAAATAACAATAGACTTAACTGCTGTGCTCATGTAATTAATACTGTATTAAGAAATCTGTTTGATTCAAAATTTTTGAATCATGAAGAAGACGGTAATAAACTTTTGAATCCAGTAGTGATATTACTAAACGAATGTAAACATTTGGTAAAATTTATGAAAAGCTCGGGTAAAAATAGTGAACTTAGTCAAGGACTTGTACAAGAAGTTGAAACGAGGTGGAATACAAGGCTTCTAATGTTTCAATCAGTGAAAAGAGCACTTCCAGAAATAATTCAATTATATGGAGAACATTTCAATCGTATACAAAATATTAATACAGAATTACTGGAAAAAATTACAATTTTTTTGGAACCATTTAAAAAAGCATCTGATGAACTAGAGGGTGATAAGTATCCGACTATTCAAAAGGTTGTTTTATACCAACTGTTATTGAAAAAACATTTAAAAACATATGCTGAACTTCAAGAGGACATATTTGATGCAAATGAAGAACTTACACCCAACTCAATAATGCAAAAATTAGGAAAACGAGGTTTAGAGTTCATGAAATCTAAATTTAAGTTGGCCGAAGAACACGAGATTGCCATTTTTTTATCGCCAAAATTTAAATGTCTAAAAATGTTTTCAGAACCAGATAAATTACGTATATTTCAAAATATAGGATTTAAGTTGTTAGAAATTGAATTAAAAGAAAATATAACTCCAGAAAACCTACACCAGGAATATAATGTTACCATACAAAAAAACACTTCGAATAGCTCACTATTTTCAGAATGGGAAGATGGTGAAAATAATGAAGATTTAGACAATAGGCGTAAATATGAAAAAGAATTGGAAGCTTACAAAAAAGAAAAGTTTGATGTTATCGACGACAATTTGTTAGATTTTTGGAAGCGTCAAAATCACATTTTTCCACATTTAAGTGTATTAGCACGACAAATTTTGGCTATTTCAGCTAGTAGTGCTAGCAGTGAACGCTCTTTTAGCGTTGCTGGAAGACTAATCGAAGAGCGTAGAAGTTGTCTGAGTGGTACAAGTGTAGATTCGATTTTGTTCTTAAATAACCATTTTAAAAATAAAAAATGAATTTATTTTACTATTATTTAAATGTTATTTTACTATTATTTTTAATTGAACTATCAAGTATCAACTAATAATTATTTTAATATTAATTATTTTCACATTTATTTTATTTTAAATATAAAGAATTTAATTAAAAAACGTATCTTATAGTAACTAGGTGCGGCACAGTAAAATCCATAATTTTTCTAGCATATTATAAATGTTATATATTTTAATTTGAAATATGAAACATTTTTTTTTGTGATTATTATAATAAACGGTTAAAAGAAATTAAGTTGTACTTATTTTCCGATATTATAGGTACATATAACAATACATTATAATATGTACTTACCCACTGTATTAGTATAGGTACAGTTATTCAGTATTTTATAAATATAGGTGTATTATAAATTGTAGGTAGATCGAAGATACACCTACAAAATTATATGAAATACTACTAAATTAATTAATTAAAGTAAATATTCTTAAAAACAAATTTCAACTATATTAATATATTCTTTTTAGAAACGAGGTAACCCGATAATTTCCTCAATTCATATTTTGTTAAAACTAAACATAGTTTTTATTTGAATTATAATGTCTTTATTAATGTTAATATTCTCATATCGAGCTTCATGAACAGTCACTAAACATTTTAGGAATCAACAGTGAGCTGATCCCTTTAACATGACATTTTATTAAACCATTAAATTACTACATTTTTCGTGCAACCCGGCATTAGTCTTTATCAAATGTTTCAATCTAAACCAGTCTCGCTATTGTTCTATGAAATAAAAGTAAAATCGGTCCGCCCCAATCGATCTTGATTCTACGGTGAAATTTTTTTAAAATTAAATTAATGTAATTTTGGTCCTGATAAAAATATTTTTTTTTTAACAGTCCAGTCTCAGTCTTTTTTAAAAATTTAAAAATAAAACGGTCCGGTCCCAGTCTTTTTCAACAGCCTAAAATAAATCAGTCTAGTCTCGGTCCAGTTAAATTATTTTAATGATAGTCCAGTCCAGTCTTGGTCTTAATTAAAATAACTAGTCCGGTCTGGTCCAAAAAAATATGGACCATGCAGAGCTCTAGTGTACTGTAGCATACCCACTTGACGGTATAATCAACAAAATAATATAATATATATTAGGGGGGGGGGGGGGGGGTCAATCACTCCAAACACCATCCTTTTTGCGTTTATGACATCATTGTTTTTTTTTTCCGATTAAAATCAAAACATAGTCACTTTGTCATTCTGATCACTATCGTGTCATTTTTGGTGCTCGTGTCCTCGAAGCACAATGATGACAAAATCTCTGACCAGAAATACGCGTTTGCACCATCAAGCCTGTTGAGAGTGGGCTCGTACAACAAGATCGGAAACGCATCGAATGTCGAACAACCCACACAATTAGAAGTGTAATAATTAATATATTTCTAAATAATGATTTATATTATTATTTTATAACAAAGACTCACATCGAAACGATATTGATTGTTTTTCTTTAGATTTTCATCGATACGTTACCCGTTCTTAGCAGTGCTGATAATAGTGATAGCCATAGTTTCGTTTCTGTTCTTTTACCCGGAATCACATATTGCTGACCCCAAAATCAATGACTCAAAATTTCAGGTGCCATTATCGAGTATGCCAATGGGCTTTTACAATGAAGTTGGAATCGTTTCTAATGGTGGGCTATCCTCACAAATCGGAGTGTAATTATTATAAAATTAATTAATTATTATGATAATTTTAATAATAATAAACAAAGATATTACCAAAATTTGAATTTTTTAACACATTTAATATTTGATGCTTAGTTGAAGGTACTCTTACTAATATTAGTTTTTAAAAATAACCATAAATTGTTCACATTTGATTTTCATAACTCAAATTTTTTTGAAAAAGGGATATTATGTCAAAGGGTGGAAATGCTGTAGATGCTGCTATAGCTACAATGATATGTGACAGTCTTATATGTCCAGAATATTTGGGAATCGGTGGAGGTTTTTTAATGAGCATCTACAATGCAAAAACCAAAAAAGTAATCACTATCAACGCACGTGAAACAGCACCAGCCGCAGCAAGTTCTTCGATGTTTGTTAAAAACCCCAAAAACTCTATGTACGGTACGTATTAAAATCTCGTGGCCCGGTAAGTTTACATAATTTGTTGACTTTTTAATCGAGTTAATATATTGTAAATAAAAAATTAACTTATGTTCATAAAAAAAAATTAATTAAACTTAGGTTGATTAAAATCAAAATTTTATAGATTCTAATCATAAATAAAAAAAACAATCATGTTATTTTATTTACGATCCCATTAATTTTTTTAAGCTCCGAGTTGAAGTGGTAGGATAAAATATCTTAAGAAACAAATTTTAAAAGCATTTAAATTAATTTGGTTATCATTACGTAATATTAACTTAAAATAAAACTTCAGTTAAGAAAAAGTAACTTTTTGAGTGGAAAAATATCAATAATATAAATATTTTGCTATATAACTTGATACTTAATTTACTTTTAATATGAATAATATCGCAGAACAATGTGTTTTATAAACACCATTAATAAATGCTTATAAATTAAATTATGTAACAGTATTTTTTATTAATAGAGCATAATATTATACAGGAGGATTGGCAATTGCGGTTCCAGGTGCGCTTAAAGGCTACTCGGTTATATATAACTTATATGGTGGTGGTGTCCCGTGGAAATCGTTATTCGAACCAGCTATACAATTATGTGAAAACGGAATAGATATAAGTGAACGTCTAGAGACAAACCTGAAGAATAACAGCGACATGATAAAAAATGACCCAATGCTAAGGTACAACCAATAAATATGTACGTTTTTTTTGTTTAATATGTATATATGAATATGTAATTTGATAAGTTAATTACAAGGTAATACTTTTTATAAAAAAATTTGTTTTGAATTATTTTAGACGATTAGCAAAATTGTGTATTATATAACTTATTTAACTTAATGTAATATACTTTGTATATATTTATATATATAATAATAATAATAATTATCGTGCACTTTATAGTTTAATGACTTTTTAATGAAATTTAGTTTTGTTTGTAGAAAATGTTTTTACGACGAAGAATATAGTCGATTAAAGAAAGCCGGCCAAATTTACAAGTTACCTAAATTAACAGAAACACTGAAAATCATAGCGGAAGAAGGTGCAGATGCCATTTATAATGGCTCATTAACGCTTAAAATATTAGAAGATTTAAAAAAAGTAAAAAGTGTAATTACCAAAGAAGATTTAGCCAATTATGAGTGAGTGGTTTATTTAATGCGAGATTTTAATATTTATTGTATTTAGAATATAAATGCAATTAATCTTAACAATAAAGTTTAAAATTAGTATATTATATTGAGACATGATTACAGTAATAAATTCATGTTATCAGTGTTGAAATCGAAAAATCTTTTCCTGTGAACTTGAAAAATGGACATACAATACATACGGGACCACCGCCTAGTTCTGGTATAATATTAGCCTACATACTTCGTGTGTTGGATGGATTATTACCAGCACCCAACGCAGGTTTGGACGCTCATCGATTGGTGGAGGCTTTCAAATTTGGTTACGCCGAAAGAACCCATTTAGGAGATCATAAATTTGTTGACGTGTCTCAGGTATACATTGTATATGATTTAATACATAGTATTCGAACATTATCAATTATCATACACATTTTTTTTTAGATTTACGATAAAGTAAAATCAGATTGTTACATAAATAACATACGAGATAAAATATCCGATACTTTTACTTCGTCAAATCCAAAATACTACGGAGCCGACTATCATATGCCAGAGAATCATGGGACTGCAAACATGGTCGCAACAGATTCAATTGGAAATACTGTCGTGTGCACTAGCACATTAAATACTTTGTAAGCATTAATATAATTTATGTTGAATGTTCCTTTGACTCATCTTAACCGTTAAATTTAGTAATCTGTCAAGTTTGTGATTTGTTTAGTTTTGGATGCGGATTCATGTCTCCTAGCACTGGTATAATTTTTAATAATCAAATGGATGATTTTTCTTCTCCAGAAGTTGTGAACAATTACGGAATTCCATCTTCACCTTCCAATTTTATAGAACCAGGCAAACGACCAATGTCTTCAATGTGTCCAACTATAATTACCGACAAAAATGATGATTTTGTTCTTGCAATAGGAGGAGCAGGTGGATCAAAAATCACTATTACTATTGCCTATGTATGATTTGTTTTACTCTACTATAACACTATCTATTTATTGCGGGTTTTAGTTAACTTTAAGTATTTTTATTTAAATACCTATTTTTGTTAACAATTTAACTGTTTTCTATAAAATATATTAATTTAAATCTTATTTTTTCAATAAGTATCAGTAGTCTTAGTAAATAGGATCAACAAGCATAAATTATTTTAATTTTCAATACTTAGCCAACAAATTCAATTTTTTTTTAACCGTATATTCACGTTAATTTATATTTGTATGTAAGTACAAACATTTAAATACTATTTATTATTTTTTTTCAGATTTTAGCCCTTATACTATGGTACAATATGACATTGAAAGAAGCAATAGATAAACCTAGAATTTATCACCAACTTATTCCCATGAAAGTTCAATATGAATACGGAACGACAAAGGTTTATAATAGAAATGTATAATAAAATATTTTGACATTATCTAACTATCCGTATTTATTTATTATAGGACGTCGTTCAAAAACTAAAAGATATTGGTCATCAAGTGGTGATGTTAAATAATGTGGTTTCGGCGGCAACAGCTATTGGAAAATCTGCTTCGGGAACGATCGTAGCTATGCCAGATTTTCGACGACCAGGAAATTCATGCGGATATTAATGCAAAAAAGTCTTAATAAATTAATTATTTTTTTTTAATGATTATTGCATATTTTTTAAGTTAATTTAACATATTGACCGCAATAGATCAATAATTTTATTATTTATCATTATTGATTTTGTTTCAACATACAAATATTATAATACTTTAATAAAGTAGATTATTATATACCTAGTAAAGCCTATATTATGATAAAATTATAGGATTGTTCAAAATTCCTGCTAATTTTTTTTTTTTTTATATAAAATATATAAATAAACTCAGTTTTAATTTTATATAATTCCTGAAATAAACAAGATTATGTGTATCAAAAAAAAGGATGTAATATTATTAAAATTTTATTGTTTTTTAAGTAGATACCTATTATAATAATAAATTCAATCTGATTCTATTGAAATATAGAATAGTATTCAATTAATTAACATTAAATGTTATATGTACAGTTTATATAAATTGCATTTGAATCCATTATTTAAATTTATGGAGTACTTATTTAATATTTTTTCTGAATGAGTTTGTGTCGAACCAATACTTAAAGCTTTATATTTTTAAAATTATCACGTACTAGTTGGCATTACAATTTTACATAAATAATTTGCAATAGTTTAAGAATAAGGTACATTAATTACTAATGAATATGAATTAGTTCTAAATTGAATTGACTTCTAGTTATTTTGTTTAACTAAATTATTAATGACTAACATGTAAGTCTGGGAATGGTATACAATGCTGTTAATTAAACATGTTGTGTTGAAGAATTATAAAACTTTATTGTTCCATTTGACTAAAATATTTGGTTTGGTAAAACGGTTATTTATGTGTTTATTTAACATAATGACTTAGATCATAGTACAAGATAGAATTTTAATCAACATTTAAGCACCTTCGAAGTTAAACCGGTATCGTTTAAACACAAATCGTTCGTAAATTATAACAAAATATTTTTTTTGTATGTTTATGGTTATTTAAATAAAGTTAAAAATATTGAAATACACAATTATAAAATAATACTGTCCACTAATAATAAAGTTAACTCTTCAGACATTCATTCATAGGTATACAAATTTACGATTATTTTACAACTATCAATCACTTAGTGAGTACATTTTTTGTATAAATTTGTAATTTAAATTATGCATAAAATATTTAAGTTTATAAAATAATTTTAGATCATTTTTTTTTTCAGATGAAATTTGTAATATTTTGGTCGTGAATTAGTGAAAATATACATATTTTAAATACTATATAGAATATATTAGAAAGAATGAATTTTAGGTATGATTTTTTTAATTTTTTAATTTAAAATTTAATAGATAGGTAATTACACGTGTAGTTAAAAACGGTCGGTCTAGTGTTCAAAATTGAGATTCTAAAGTTTAAAAACATTTTTGCTCAAATTCAAATACTAATTTGAAAGAAATCATATGTCTAAATCGATTAAAATTCTATAAGACCAAAATTTAAATTGTAATGATTAATTATCATGACTAGGTTATGATTTAATTAAAAAAAAAAATTATAAAAATGTTGCAAATTAAACATGTATTTTAGAAACTGTGATTAATTATTGACATAACTCCATAATTCGTTATAATTTTATTGTAAAATTTATAGCGATACAAATTTCAATATTCTCAATGATTTTAAAAATTTGAAATTATTTGAATTGAGTTCATTTTAGAATCTTGGATTAGAAAGTACTAACACGATTTAGTTATTTTTCATAGATTAATTTTACTATTCTAAACAAGTATTTATTTTTCAAATAAATTGATTAACTAAATATTGTATATTTGATAAATATATTTATTTAAAAATGTTAGTATAAAATATAATATATAAAGGATACAATTAAACTATAAAAAATGTATTAATAATAGCCAACAGGGGGCAGTAATAGTTATGATGGTAATAGTAATAAAAAATAACAATAATACATCACTCACGGAAAACTTAAAACTTAAATTTATTTATCCGTGGATGAAATATCAAACCTACATTAATTCGTGTACCTACATTAAAATATAAATATTAAATACACACAATAATATTTCATATCATTATTTACAGGGATCCATCAATCAGAATATTTCTTATAGAAAGTTTAGTATTATTTTGTACTATAGTGATACTTTCATTTCGTTTCTTTGCTTCGATAGATGTCTTCAATGATCCAATGTCTTCGTTGCCACTATCTTCCATACCAATGGGTCAGTATAATGATGCGGCAGTCGTTTCTAACGGTGAACCATGTGCAAAAATTGGAACGTAAGAATTATTATATGGGTTAAAATATTTACAAATATGTATCATATAGTAACTTCATATTTTTAGATGATATTCATTATACGAATATCATCGTATATCACTCGTTAATTGCATAAAACTTTAAAAAAAAAATCTTAAAATTCAATTAACGTTTATTTATTTGAAACAGATCAACAAGAAAAAGCAAGTCTAAGTTATTATTACTTTTGCTAAGGCTTCAACATTAAAAACAGTTATAAGCATAATTTTTTTTTAAATACATAAAAGTTATAATGTCTCAAAGTTCATGACAATATATATATAATTTTTGAATCAAGTTTATTTTTTAAGAATATTAATTCCATGACCGCTTGTTACAACGAAGATCAATTATTGAAAATTTTATTTTATTTTTCAAAACATTGCTTGTTGGTTTTATATAGTACGTTTTTACTTTAGAGACATTCTGAAAAACGGTGGAAATTCAGTAGACGCAGCAATAGGTACATTGTTGTGTGATAGTGTTGTATGTCCGGATTTAACGGGTATTGGTGGAGGTTTCCTAATGACCATATACAACAGAACTACAAATACATCTTTATTTATAAATGCTCGAGAAACGGCTCCAGGCGCTGCCAACTACACTATGTATGACAGCGATCCAACGAAATCATTAACCGGTATGAAATTACTTGTTGAAGGAATTTATTCAGTTTTCGAACTTTCTAAATATAAATAACAAATATTCTAAATAACTTAGTAAACAAATAAATATTACTAGTTACTTTAACTGTATAGTATCTTCAATATTTTCGTATAATATCAATGGCTTAGTGTGCACATTCGTTATAAGTCACAAAATTTAAACTGTGCAGAAGAGCTATTTTAAATTTTAACTTAGTTTAAACCCATTTAACCTAAGTAATTTTAATCCAATTCGTTTTTTCTAAATTTATATTAACTTAAAAATATATAAGTTAAATTCATGTAATATTTATTGATTTATTTTAATGATCATTTTTAAAACATGACAAGGACTTAAGCTTTGTGAAAAAATAAATTTAGATAGACATGGACTTATACCTAACAATTGCTTTTTAAAAATATTATATTAATATAATTTCTTTTTATAAAATCTTAAAAAACACAGGGAACATTTGATTATTAAAAACTCTTCAATGTATTCAAATAAAATAAAAATGACATTTTTCTACACTTGAAAAGTTGAAACAAAAATTAATTTATAAAACATAAAAAAATTAATAATTTTCACTTTTTATAAAATCTTTAATCAATAAAACAAAATATAACATTATACTTTATTTTAAAACAGAAAAAGACATCAAAAGAGTAATAATTCTCGTTATTTTATTAAAACTTGGGGATAATTAAAAACAAAATAATATCATTGAACTTTTTTATAATTAAACACAAATCATTTTAAGTCCACTTCTTTATAGGTATTATTTGTGGTTAAACAAAATAAGCGCTACATCTAAAATATTTTAATTGCACTTATATAATATATCCAGACTTATTACATGTAAGCAGTCAATAAATTGGGGAATATAAACTAAATATATATTAAGTCCCGGACATATGATAAGTGTGCAATAAAATAATTGTTCAAGTACAAAAATTAAGGACTTCTCACTAAAACTTGAGGACTTAATAGATTAGAGCAAAAATAAATACGGCTAACAGCCATTTATGACAAGTTAAAATAGTAAATTTCACAAAAATTAGTAGTTATAGGATACAAAGAACTTGTATAAAAACAAAGAGAATTTAATTTCCCATCTATTTGCATCAAAAAGTGTATTTTGAGAAAAATGGGACTTATAACAAGTGTGTAATAAGCAATCGATATATATTATATACAATTACACGTATATTATGCCCTCAAACGTTCAATAAGTAATAAAATATTTATTTTTTCAATTTATTGCTACTATAAAAATAACTAGTTAATTACTAAAATAAATTGTAATGTACATTCAAATATATAATTACCTCATTAGTAAAAATAAATATTATAAAATTCTTTAAATATATAAAATCAGAGTATAAGAAATCATTATAATATTGTTTATCGCATTTTACATTCTAATATCAAAATTGCTCATAAATTTATTATGACACTATATATATTATATCTTACTACAAATATATTGTGTATGATATATTGTGCTTTTTTTAAAATCATATTTAAGGAGCTTTAGGAATCGCTGTCCCTGGTATGATCCGAGGCATTTGGGTTACATACAATTTATATGGAGGAGGAGTTTCTTGGGCTTCTCTGATCAAACCAACAATACAACTATGTGAAGAAGGAATCGTTGTGAGTGAACGTTTAGGAGCCAATATTAACGCAGCGAGAAATCTTATTTTAAAGACAAATTTGAAGTAAGTTTATTTCAAAACAATATTTTTTTTTTTTAATGCATTAAATAAAAAAAATGTATATTATCTTCTCTTTAAGAAATTTATTTATTTAACGATGTTTTTAGAAAATGGGGTTCAATGCGGTAAATTCATTCAATCGTTAGGATACCTTATGGCTTATACAATAAAATAATTCAACTACACATAAACTATATTTATCATTTATTTATAATATAATACTTAACTTAAGTTACTGCTAACTAAATTATCTCCTTTTCGTTCTTGATTGCCTCATTCAACACTCGACTAGCACTCTCAACTCCCCTCTGACTGTCTCTACTTTTATGTTTCTATTGCTTTTGTTCATCACTACTATTTAATCACTTCCCAATTACTCGAGACTATCATTAATAATATTTCCCTATTAATAACTACGTCATCATTAAATAATTACATATTTTGCAATTGACGTGCCCCTCTCCCCATCAAATTAATGTAATAAACCGTTTTAAGATGTAAATGCAATCTTAAAAGAAATGTACTTAAATATTATTAATTTGAATTATAAATTCAACGACGCGTTTTATTTTTTTTATTTTATGTTAACAGATTTAGGTGATTAAGTCATTTTTAAAAATATTTTCAATAAATTATAACATACAATTTTTTTTTTTTTTTTATCAGGGAATATTTTGTCAACAACCGCACGGGAGATTTAATGAAGCCAGGTGATATTTACACAATGACAAAACTGGGTCAAACTCTACGAGTTATAGCAAACGAAGGTGCAAATGCTATATATTCTGGATCACTAACGTCAAAATTGGTCCATGATATTCAGAGTGCAGGGGGAATTATAACGAAAAAAGACTTCAATGATTACTCGTGAGTTGATAAAAAACAATACAATTTAGGTACTTAGAATAAACTTTTCACACGAAACCACAAAATTGTAATTTGTTTATTTGGTATATATTTCTGAATATATCATGAATCTAAAAAACCAAAATATAATTAAAATACATACATATAATGATTTTAAATTGTATAGTGCTCTTGTAGAAGAAAGTTTTCAAATAAATCTCAAAAATGATTACAAAGTCTATTCAGGCTTACCGGTTGGTTCTGGTATCATATTAGCTTATATTCTTCGAACATTAGACGGAAAATTACCTTCACCTAATGCCAATTTGGATGCAGTGCGATTAGTAGAAGCTTTTAAATTCGCATATGGTGAAAGATCTCACTTGGGTGACCATATGTTTGTAGACACATCTGAAGTTAGTTCATCATGCCTAAAAAATAATAACTTGATAAGACTTGGCATTGATGTAGATCACTTACGTTTTTAGATTTTGGAAAAAGTCACGTCAGATACGTATATAAATAGCATACAAAAAAACATGTCCGATCAATGCACATCGACAGATCCTAAATTCTACGGAGCCCATTTCAGTTGGCTTGAAGATCACGGAACAGAAAACATAGCTGTTTTGGATTCATCTGGAAACGCAGTTGCGATTACGAGTACTATAAACACGGCGTGAGTTTAAGTTATAACTTTATCATACCAGCTATAAATATGTTTGATAAGTCTACAATTTACATTTTGTCATAAGTATTTTGTTTCTTTTATATAGCAGGTGAACTCGTACAAAAATATTTTATCAAAAATACGTAAAACTGTTTTTTAACTTAAGTTCAATAAATTAAAATAAAAAGTTGCTTGATATTTCAATACAAGAACATATAGACATAGCAAATTTTTACATCAAATACATTTTTTTATTATTAAAATCAAAACAATAATATATACATACATATTATTTATAAAAAGATTATAGCATAATAAAATAATTTATAACTTATTTTTATTTTTACAAATAATATCTTATAGTTATTTATTATTTGATACCTGTGCCCTTTGGGTAAAAAACTTTTGGTTAGAGTTTGAAGTTAGTTTCTAATATCAGTTTTAATATTGAAGCTAAATTGAATAAAATATAAAAATAACGGTAAGAATTTTTATAATAATAATAATTGAAAGCATTTAAAAAATTGAAGCTAAGTTTAAAAAGTTTCCACAATTTTAATTACTTATACAAATAATCAACAGTAATTTAAATATTGTACTAAACTGTCTTAATATTAAAATGTGATAAAAATATAGTTATGATTCTCAAAATTAAAATATCACGTATCCTTATAATTTTAGATTTGGTAGCGGTTTCGTATCAGAAAGTACAGGAATTATTTTCAATAATGAAATGAACGATTTTTCAACTCCAGATCTTTCCAATGATTATGGGTTTCCAGTGTCTCTGTCCAACCTCGTACAACCTTATAAACGACCGATGTCCTCCATGTGTCCTACAATAATAACCGATTCCAAAGGGGATGTAATTTTGGTTATAGGTGGTACTGGAGGCTTAAAAATCCCACTTGCTACCGCATACGTAAGTCAGCATCATGATATAATTATTTTACTAAAATATAATAACATTAATAGAAGTAGTATACTTTTTCATCAGTATATTAAAAATTATAAATTAAGTAAAACATTTACATAGTTAATATATTGCGCAGATAAATAATAGCAAATGTTAAAGTTTCAAGTTTTTGAATATCAAATTAAATAAAAATTTTATTGTTATACACTTTGTGACTCTGTTGAAAATCTACGTATAGAAAAAAATACTAAAGTTAGATCAAATCTACTTTTTTTATTACACAAAAACATAGTTTACAACTGTTTTTTATTTGTTGTCTATAAACATCTTGTAGACTTAATAAGTACGAATAATTTTTCCAATGATAGCCCTAAAAAGTACTTATGAATTTTCGTTTAAAATTCATAACTTTGGATTTTTATGTTTTAGGTATCTGCACTACTTTTATGGTACAACAAAACACTGAAAGAAGCAATTGAAGAACCAAGATTATATCATCAGTTGATCCCTATGCAGGTCGATTACGAATACGGAGTGCTTAAGGTCGATTATAAAATATTAATTAAATTTATTGAATGCCAATGCATTATTATATTTAATTTATTAATATGATCTAATATTTTGTGTATTATTAATTTACAGCCTGTAGTTGAAAAACTTAAACATGTTGGCCACAAAATGAGAAGAATGATGAATAAAGATAAATCGTCTGTATCTGGAATTTTCAAAACGCCCGAAGGAATAATAACGGCGATGTCTGATTTTAGACAACAAGGGAACACATCTGGATATTGACTTAATATATTTAATTATAGTTGATTTCTTTTGTACATATTCTAATGTAGGTAATTTTATTGTATTTTTAAACATAAATAATTTAATAATCTAAAAATAATTTACAATAATATTTTTAATAACAAATATTCACTTAATACTTGTGTGTATATTTTATATGTCATAGAGTGTATAGTTCTAGTCTTTGATAATAATAATTGTTGGTGTTAGGATTTTCGGTCTTACGATAATAGACTACGATAAAAATTGTATATTTTAGTTGATAATCAAAGACACATAAATTGTTTTTAAATTGCATTTAGCTAACAGATCAAATGATAATAATTGAATAGTTGGGAAAGAGGAGAGCCACTAATTCTATCTGTCTAAATTTTTACTATTAAGAAATGTATGCTGGTATAATGCTATTTGTATAATATAATACCTAAGCGGCTGGGCCTTTATGATCGCACGGGCCGATTTTTTATGCCAGCCTCTCCTGGTGTTCAACATAATATTTCCTGAATGTGTAACTGGGAACTTAATGTCACACATAATAAGTAAAATAAAAACCAAGATCACAAACTGTTTGACAAGATATTTGAATTGCAAGCCTATTTATTTTATCAAAAATTTTGATTATAATAATTTATTTATAATTATTAAATATCATGCAATTATTGTACAGCTAAACTTTGACGACAAAAATAATTATACTAACAATGACTGTGAAAAACTGAAGTTTGGTTTTAATTTAGGTTTTACAACGATTCATTCTTAAGTTTAGGTTTTATAAAATATGGTTTTTAAGCTCTAAGTTTTGATTTTAGATCCGGTATTAAAACAATGAAAAACTAAGGTTTATACCGGTCGTAACTTGTAACAGATTTTTGAAAAACAGATTTTAAGCTCTGGATTTTGTTAGATTAATTTATCTTATAAACTTGGTTAAAAACCTGCAGTATCTTGTGTTCTTATTACACATAGATATATGTTCTATTATTATTATTTAAATGTTTTAAAAGCTAATACTTGTATTATGGAAGCTTAATTTAATTATTCGTTAGGCTTATTATATAATTCAATCAAGAATGTAATTAAAATAAATATTTCGATATTATCAATATTGTTATTGCAACAAATATGATTACACTTCAAACTTAATTAGACGCTTATTTTATCAGTATAAAATATTACAATTACTATTGTATAGGTAAATAACTCTTAAAAATCTTAAATACACACACACCTTGGCGTTCGTTATCGTAGCTTAGCTTACGAGATCTCTTTATCAATGGCTTAAATTATTAACTTAATATATTAAGTACACCCATTGTTCATTTCACATATGTCTGTGTCTATACTCCAATACAGAAAACAACTACTCACCAAATTATGATAAAATATAATAAGAAATTTCGATTTTTAGTTTAAACATTATATTATATAGTTATATAGAACGTAATAATTTATCTGATATTCACACAAATTATGTATTTAATAATTTTTCATTTAAAGAGGAAAGATCTAGATATTTTCTTAATGCAGAAATTATACTGTTAAAAAAGATTCACTTTCCACGATATCCAGCAATATTTTATCATCAGTGCTTTAATTAGAAAAATAAAATATGAATTTCTCTAAGACATAAAAAAATATAACGTACAATGCGATAGATTTATTTGACTCGACTAACTCGTGAGGGCTTGTCATCTTTTCACAAACTTTTCAGTATAACTAAATTCTTTAATATTAATGTACAGTAAATAAAAGACAAAAACAAATGACGTATACAACTTTTATATTTAATGTGTGTATGTAAAAAAATGTAAGACCTCAGATTTTGCCGTTTAATATGTTGACTATTTATTATCGAGATAACTTGGTTTTTATATATATTTTTAAATGTAGTAGTCTATACTCCAGTAAATTATTTTTTATCTCTGTGATCTGAAATTTATGTATTTAGTAAGTGATGATTTATATTATTAATGAAACTTACATGTATTTGAATTCATAAATTATAGTGCTTATATATTTAAGCGCTATAAATAACTGATGAACGTTGAATATGTTTTTAAGAAATAATTTGTAAAATAAACAAACCTAAATACGCTCTCTCCCTTTCCCTGTCTCAATAAAATATTATAATAAAGGTACGTTAAAAATAAATTAAATTATTGGAAAAACTCCATCTGCTTTTACATAACCTAATCTAACCATTAATTTAAGCTCTTATTATAATATACACAAAACAGTTATAAAATGTAATTGTAATTATATTAATTATTGTTTAACGTATCTATGAGTATTAAATGATTTTGGTATAATTTTATAAGAATATATTCTTCGAACGTTTGATGAACAATTACTTACACCTAAAACCTAATTAATTTTGACACGATTATCAGAAGTTTTAAAATTCTCTTAATATGGTGAAAAAACTCATTTAGGTTATCACATTATGTCTGTAGATTTATCTGAAATTAATTCATCACTTTCAAAATTTAATGGATCAATAAGACTTTATAACGACACGGGTCATTTAAATTTTTAGAAAATCTAAAAGTCACGTTGATTCACAATGCAAAATAATAACCATTTTGAAGTTCATAATACTTAATTTTTGATTATACATCAATATATATATGTGTATATAAATATTTTATAATAATTAATCACAGTGTATAGGTAATATAATATTATTATGGTTATTTATAAATTTTGATCATTAATCACGATGTTTGAAATTTAAATAGGTAGATATACTGATAAATGAAAAATATAAAAATTTACACCATTTATCGTAACTGATTAATAATAATGATATAATCTAAAAATATTACTTTGAAATCACATAAAAATACAATAATTAACATAGTTGTATTCATCAAATTACTATCAGGTGGTGAGGGAGGGGGGGAACACTACGAATTCTATGAAACCTCCCTCGTCGTAAATATATTACTGACACAAACACAAAATACGTATGTGGTGTAAGGATTAGGTTGTGGGTGAGTTGCGGCCCGACGTGTCATTTCTGGTGTTAGAAATTGGCGTATTGCGGCCCGATAATATTTTAGCTGTAGGTGAGTTGCGGCCTGAGTAATTAACAAGTCCGTCTTTACGTTGTTGCTGCAGGCTCGACTTTGTTATTTTTGTTACGCCAAGTTCGTACAGTTGCGTTAAAACCATCATATTTGATATTTCTGATCGATTTCTTGTGCCATACGATCGTACTCGTGCTCAAGTCGTAGGAGCCTTGTGATTAAACGTATATTTACGTGTTTTTATTACACTTCTTTTTTGATTTTGTTACTTACCGAAAAAACATATTTGCAAGAATTTTCACTTTAAAAAACTTAAAAAAATTAAATAAAACACTTAACCACGAATTTTCAATCGTAATGATTGAAACACAATCTATAAGAAGTACATGGCACGAGCCACTAGTATAATACATACCTGTATTATCATCGTATATTACTCGTCCACGTCTATCTCTTTATCCTGTGTAAGCTTCAGGTACTTGAGGTACTTGTATATTATAGTTACAGTAAGCTATACATACAATGGATTATTCTATATGATAAGAATAACTATTGAATTTGGATTCGGACCGACAGAAGTTGTCGCATTACATACCTCGTTATCTATTGACAACCTGCAAACACTAAATCTTATGTACACAACGGTTCACCTGTAATATATTATTATTATTAGCATTTTTATTGAAAAATAAGGAAACAAATTCTATTGAATACAAAATGAATTAAATTGAATGTGTACTAGTCGATAAAAAATTATGTTGTATCACTCGTATTAAGTGATACACACATAAAGACACTTCATCATTGTACACTTTAAACTAACAACCATTTAATCAAATAATCAAAAATTTATCTTGACCAGGTGTTTTAATATTTGGCACTGGTAAAAACTTGTATGATATTATTTTTATATATTCAAGTTTGTCAATTTTGTTTTCTTCTGTTTTATAGTATTATTTTTCTAATATATTTGTTCTGCAATTATTTATATGAGTACTTCTTAGTTTTATATTTTTATATATTTTTTAGAACATCGATGAATACAAAAATATTAGGAAGAGCAATGTAGAACTTGGCGTTGAATAAGCGGTGAAATGTTCTCAGCAATATAAAAGTGACGACTATGGTGTATTTGTTATTTTGGTCTTCTACATTGTACTCTCATTATTAAACAGTCAACAAGTTATTAGTTAAGATACCACATACAATGTTATAAATTTATATCATGACGGTCAGTGACTTAACTGGGAAAAAATCTAGGAGGAGAGGTAAAACAATTTATTTAAAATGTTGTTTATTTTTATAGTTGGTTATATTGGGGGGGGGGGAATCATAATTTCCCCCTCACAAAATTTTCTAGGGAGTAACTGTCCCCCTAGCCCACCATAATTATGCCAACTGTCGTTATTATGGAATAGCAAACGATAATAATATTAGGATGCGTGCAAAAATTAATTTGGGACGCAAATAATATGCAGCCATGTAGAAATCCGATGTCATACTTTTACCATTTTATTTTATTTCCTTTAAATCTCATGACCATAATGATAATTATACGCTAGCATTCTAAAATCGTGAGACATTGTGAGTTATGAGTTATAATCATCATCAAATTTTATCTCAGTGCAGTTGAGTCAAGGAGGTGTAAAATCAAAAGGTTGTAAAAAAGTTTAACACAATTATGTTAGAAAACACTTTTTTACACAAAAAAAACAATCCACTGAGGTTAGGGTACATTTGAGTTCAAAATTTTAAGATGTTTTTAACAAAAAATAAACCATTCTACCGCAGTACTACTATTGTAAAATAAATTACTTCAATAATAATGTAAAAAATATATCATGAAATATTATACTTTATTATATAAGCTGGCAAATTTCTTTCACTTAAAATTGTTTTTTATATACAGTGATAAACATATCATTGAAATTAAATTTAACATATCCATTTCAATGGCCTACTTGGCATAGAGGTAATCAGTCTCTAACTTTTTTATTTTAACGATTTTTTAAAACTTGATTTTAGTTTATTGATTGCCATGATAATAATTTAAACAAGATATAATAGTCATCAAATCATTGTATGTAATAAAATATAAATGTAAAATATTTTAAAATGTAAAAAAGCGGGAAAGTGGGTACCGCTCTGCTGTACATTAGGGGGTGGGATGAACCTCGGACTAGGGTAGGTTAAATTTGAATGCAATGATAGGTATCATTGTATACGAAAAACGACTCTGAACGGAGATGATTTGTCAGTCTAGGATATATTATATTTAAATATTGTCATACATTCTATTTTGAAACAAATATTTTATTTTTAAATTAGGACGCATTATTTGCAAAAGTCATGGTTAATCAATTAATTATTAATTTTTATGAATTATACCTACAAAATAGTTTGCAAATATTCATGGTTTTGACGAATTTTTGTCAATATTTGAACTTCAAATGCTAATAAAAAAAAATTGTGCATATGTATTCTTAAAACCTTTTGATCACTATAAGAATAACTTATGAGGAACTTTCTATTAAATGTTCAAGTATTTTGATTCGACCAAAAAAAATTTATCGACACTTCAAAAAAAAATTTTCAGAAAAATTGAAAACTTCAGTTGTCTATAAATAGCTCAAAAAAATTCAAAATATTTTGAAAATTAAATCATGTAAAGAAAATTTCAATCTAAATAACTGGTAAAATTTTCAAGTATCTACGACTTATACTTTTTAAGTATTAACAAATATTTAAAATCGTTTGAGGATAAATCGTTGTCGTTACGCTATTTCGTAAAAATTTTAAATTCAAACCCACTTAAAATTTTTTCTATAATGAAACTTCGAGTTTTTACTATACCTATTTGAAGGAAAACTTAGGGAAAACATAGTGTAGTATTTTTAATCCTTAGTTTTAAACACAAACAATTTTATGATTTTTTTAACTTCAAAATTACTTACAAATTTTCACGTTTTTGATAGATTTCGTAAATATTTGAACTATAAACATTTATAAAAAAAAAAAAATTGTGACTAACGATTTTTAATTTTTTTTTTTTTGCTACAATAAGAAAAACTCATAAGAAACCTTGTATTAAATTTTCAAATTCTTTTAGTCATCCAACATTTTTTTATTGACATTTAAAAAAAAAATTCTCATAAAAATCGATAATTTCAGTGGTCTATTAATAACTCAAAAAAAGTCAAAATTTTTTGAAAATTAAACTGTATATAGATAACATTAACATTAACATTTAGTAAAAATTTCAAGTATTTACAGTGATTAGTTTTTGAATTACAACCATATAAAAAAATCGATTTGGTCAAAAACTGGTTTTTCGTAAAAATTCCCGTTTTTCCGTCATTTTTTTTTTTGTTTTTCTCGATTTTTTTGAAAACTGTTGGAAAATGTTTACTTTTTACCTTTATAATGCACCAAGGATATTCACTTTTCCATCGGAAATCACTCCCGAAGTTTAAAATTGAAGCATTATTTCGACTATTAATGTTGTACACAGACAAAAAAAAAAAAAAACACACATTGTAAAATCAATACATTCATCACTCCGTTCAGAATCTAAAATATAGTTATTCAATCACTTTCATTAAAAATGATATGTGTGTAATATTGTATTTCAGAGTTTTTTTTTTTCATAGTTTTTATTCAGGGGACCTATTCCACAGTGTAAATAATATTATATTATCACTACTTTATTTTTAATCATCCTTTACGATAGCAAAATTTTAATAATTTATCTATTTATGTGTATAAACATTGTTTATTGTTGATGTAAAACACACATATAATATATATTTAAAAAGTTTAAGTATAAACGTACATCTCATCAAAAGATTTTATGTATAAAAAAATGTACTATACTTTTAAAATTCAATTATTGAAAGTATTTATTATGTATATATACATATAGTTTAGATTTATATAAAATAAATTATTTAATTAGCGATTTTCAATTGGATGAGCTTATAAAAATAGAAATGTTTTTAGATAATATTTTACCATAGTATTGTTTTCAATAAAAATTAGGGAATTTTAGGAAATTTTTACTTTTATTACCTTCAAAGTACCAACTAAATTCAATATGTTAGTAGGAATTACCGTGTGAATGTGGATGTTCGATTTAAATTTTCTGCCTTAAACGTAGTGACAGACAAAAAAAAAAAGTAAAAGAAACTCACGCAACATTATTAAGCTAATATACTAATAGTTCTCTGTTCAGCACCTACTACATTTTATGATGTATCACTAAAAATTTTATAATCTAACAATTTTTTATGAAATAGATTATAAAATAGTAAGAAAACAGATTTGTTCATTCTTTGATTAATTATTGCAAAAAAAATAATATTTATAAGTGCATTAGTATAGTTCCATTTTTATATTATATATATATATATATATGTATTTATTTATTTAAGCACATTATGTACAATTTATAAACAATAGCATTTATAATACAACACAATAAATAAATTTTAAATCTGTAGTGATTAAATTGTTAATAATACTATTCTAGCTCTCATTGTTAAATATTTTATGACTTAAGCTTCCAATTAAATATGAAGTACTTCTCCCTGTAATCATATATATAAATGCTCGTATTTTTATGTTAGTTAGTTATATTTTAATATTGGACATATTTACACCATTATTTTAATTTCCGTAGTGATAGTGTAGATTTTTATATTATACATTTCTTGAAAATTGGCATCAGTAGTTAAATTTTTTTGGAAGCACCAAAATATATATTTGACGTTATTTTTATTGTTATCTTAGTTATTAACATCGATTCATTGATCAACTCATCACAGGAAAAATTGGCATTATGATCATCACGTAAGTTCACATCCCTAGTTGGTTTTGGTTGATATTATATTATGTGGATAGAAGTAAATATATAATGCAATCAGTCATATTTTTATCAAATGAACTTAAAATAAACAACAAAAATGATTAATTACTACTATTTGGTTATTTGATAAATTAATGATTTGTTTTGTGATCTTTATTATAAATATATTATAAGACGTTAGTGTACGATAAAACCTAGCTCAAGTCTATTTTTATTTACACTTTTTAATTCGTTATCATAAGTGAAAACAAATGGGTATAATTTTCAAAGTATTTATACTCTCAATGATAATTTTCAAGTTTAAAATAGGTAAACTATATTAATTTCATGTGATACAATTAATTTTAAATTATGAACTAAATAAAAGGAATTAATAACTCAAGTTTATCAATAAAAACTTTTTTATAATTTGAATCTAACCCTTTAATTTAAAATAATTATTCAAATTGAAAAACTGTTTTTTTAATGTGCTTTTCTTATATTATTATTTTCCGAATTATTTAAAAGTATATTTTGTTTTTAAAACAATATACATTAATTTCTACTATTCAGTCGTTTTTTACATTTAATATATTTTTATTGCTTTGATTTACTTAATCAACTGTATTATGATTGTTATTTTTCTTTCAGTAGATAAATGGATAAAACAAATTTAATATGATTAAGTACAAGAAGTTTTTTTTATTAAATTGTATATTTTTACACAGCACTCAAAATATCAGATACAATGATATTGATATCTGTAGTAGATTACATTATTAAAATAAAATTCTCATTTCTCAATGAATCAAAATTTTTGTTCTTACTGTAAAAATGTTATTTATTGTTTACTTACAAGTATAATCAATAATTTTTAGTCGAATATTAAATTTTATTTTATTTCTAATTTGGTGCAATAAATTTCACATAATCATATAGATAATTTAAGAACACATAAGCTACTATAATAGTATTTTTGTTGCCTTAATAACCATTTTTAGGCATGTTTATTTATACAATAATATAATCATTAAGCCTACATATTAAATGAACATAAAATGTGAAATTTAATATTAAAGAACACAATGTAGGAACGCGGGGCTATCCTAATTCCAAAATAAACCCATATAGCTATTTTTTTATATAGCCAAATTACCTTAGCTGCATGAGAAAAACAATGAATCGAAAATATATTCAAACGAAAATTTGTCTATTAAGCTGATTTTTTTAGAGGTTACGTGGTAACATATTTATATGATATACCGATTTTTATCAGCGACTAAGGTGGTATGTCGTAACAAAAACGAATGAATAAAAAATCACATTATATCTAATCCAAATACATATAATCTATGTTAACACTACAATGATTTAATAATACATATTATGTATATTTTAGTATGAGATTAATATATGTTTACGTGTTCAAAAGATTTTTAAGAAAAATTGAACAGAACAAATTTAATAATTAAGTATGCAAGTTCCTAATTGTCATATAACGAAACTGTGTTTTTTTTTAGATTACCTTCAAAACGATGCAGCCTCTTCATTGGATTAGTGGTATTAATGACCACCGCAGTATTATTTGTGTTCGTATATTCGCTAGTCTCCGTCAAAGAAATTCAGGACCCCGAATTTCCCGAGCCACCATCAAGTTTGCCAATGGGAGTATACGACAAGGTTGGTGTCGTATCTAACGGTGGACCCTGCTCACAAATTGGAGTGTAATATACATTTTATTAATTGTTTAATATGACTTCCTACCTATAGAGCACTGTTTTCTAAATTCAATATTAGGATAAACCACTAATTGGTTATTTTATAATCTTGATAACATTAAATTATAAAATTATTGAATGATCATATTTTAAGTTTTCAATTAATAAAAAGAGTAAGAAAAACACAAATTAAGGATAGTAAAATAAATATTAAAAAAACTCTATTCTAGCATATTAATGTAATCTTCCCGAAGACATAATATATCTTCATGATAATATATATATATTATGTAACAAAATTTTGGACAATTACTATTTAGCCATTTCTTTGACTTGACTAATATATTTATAGTGTTTCAATGTCATAGAATGTATTCAATATTTCTATGGTTTATTTTTTTATTTTTTAAAGGGATGTAATGTCAAAAGGCGGAAATGCAATAGATGCAGCTATAGCTACTTTGCTATGCGACGGTGCAGTTTGTCCACAACAAATGGGTATTGGTGGTGGATTTATAATGAGCATTTACAACGCAACGACCAAAAAAGTAATGATGATCAACGCACGCGAAACGGCGCCGGCCTTAGCAAATACATACATGTTTGTAAATGAACCGATAAAATCTATGTATGGTACGCATACTTAAAATAATAAATACAATTATAAATTATTTACTGCCTGACAATGCCAAATAAACAATATTACACTTATACCAATACCTGCAGTTATATATTTTAATATTAATATTATTTGATGGATTGAAATAAATCGATTTAGAGACGTTATATCTACCTATATTTTATTAATCTAAAAATCTAAACTACTTATTCAGTTTTTAAATTGTACAACCGTTTTAAATAGGTATATATAATCAAGTATTTTATGTTGATTATGTTGTAAGATACTTGACAAATTGCACTTGAATCGTTTATATATCGTGTATATATATTGATCACATTATATATATAAAGATTTATACCAGAATTTTAAATTGAACGGTTCTTGTGAAACTAAACTAACTTGCAATAAAATTATGATTAAAATAGCTTATAAATAAATAAAAATTTATAAAACATATTCATTAGTTTTAATTTTGAAAATCTAGGAGCACTAGCGGTTGCAATTCCAGGAGCCCTTAAAGGCTACTCGACCATATATAACTTATACGGTGGTGGTGTACCATGGGAAACGTTGTTTGATCCAACCATAAAACTATGCGAAGAGGGTATAACGATCAGTGATCATTTAGATTTTTCTTTAAAATTTGATGAAGATTTGATAAAAAATGATACAATCCTCAGGTATAATATGATTATATTACGTCACTTTTCAAATAAATTACTAGATGAAATTCCTTTTAAATGAAAAATTGTTTTTTTCTTAAACTAATGTTTACAAATGTACAATAACGTATTTTTATTTTTAATACATTTAAAACGTTTTTTTTATTTATTATTGAACAATTCATCTGAAATATATTCATTAATTTCAATAATACTAATTATTGGTTGTAAATTATGTAAAACTTAAAAAAATAAATTGATGGTCATTTTTATATAGAAACATTTTTCTCAACGAGAACAGTGGATACTTGAAGACGTCAGGAGAAACATACAGGTTACCAAAGTTAGCAAAAACTCTAAAAATCATAGCAAAAGAAGGTACAAATGCCATATATAACGGATCGCTAACATCAAAATTAATACACGAATTCAGAAAACACAATGGTATTATTACAAAAAAAGACTTAGCAGATTATAAGTAAGTGTACTAATTAACTTGAGTTTAATAATTTTCTATTTAATTGTAAATTATTTTAGAAATTTAAAAATTAGTCTAAAAGCATACTATCTATCATATAATATATTTATCGAAAACATAAAATATATTTCAAAATTATAAAATTATGTTCTTTAGGGTTGAAATTGAAGAATCTTTTTCAGTTAACTTAACAAGTGGACATACAATACATTTAGGACCACCACCTAGTTCTGGTATAATATTAGCTTATATTCTCCGTGTATTAGACGGTATTTTACCGGCGCCTGATGTTGGCTTAGATGAACATCGGTTGGTTGAAGCTTTTAAATTTGGTTACGGTGAACGATCCCATTTAGGAGACCATCAGTTCATTGACGTATCTCAAGTATGTGATTATAAAATTGTATAAAATAAACCTTACAATACTAAATTTATTATTCTTATTTTTTAGATTTATAATAAAGTAAAATCGGATAGTTACATTAAGAGTATAAGAAATAAGATTCTTGATGATTTTACATCGTCAGATCCGAGATACTATGGGGGTGATTTTTATACTCCAGAGGACCATGGAACGGCTAATATAGTTGTAACCGATTCGATGGGAAACGTTGTCGTATGTACCAGTACAATAAATACATTGTAAGTGTTAATTTATGCATTTAAAAAAATGTATTCCTGTTAGATATCTAGTACATTCATTAAGATGTCGAATTAATTTCATAATAGTTTTGGAAGTGGTTTCGTGTCACCCAGCACTGGCATCATTTTTAACAATCAAATGAACGATTTCTCTACTCCTGGAGTCACCAATTTTTACGGAATCCCATCGTCACCAGCCAATTACATAAAACCAGGAAAACGGCCAATGTCTTCTATGTGTCCGACTGTATTTACCGACGATAATGGTGACTTTGTTCTCGGAGCAGGAGCAGCTGGAGGATCAAAAATCACTCTTACTACAGCATACGTAAGATTTATATTTACTCATAATATAGTTATATTTTATTTTTATTTTTACTAAAATTTGTATGATAAAATTATTAACCTTGTTGTATACCTCCTTCTTATAGAATTTTCCGGTCTCTTAGCCATCATTACAATCATTGATTAAAAATATTTTTTTGAACTATAAGTTTCTAAAATTGAATTTTAATTTAATTTATTATTATACAATTTTACTACCTACGATATTGTGTTTATGGAATTTTGAATTCAAAATATACTTGTTCAATTTTAACTGATATATTATTTTAATCATTTTTAAATGTATGCAATTAATAATATTTAAAATGTACATAGCTAACCGTGGTCATAAAACTACTGAAGGATTATATATTAGACTCTAAAAAAAATAAAAACTTTTTTTACCAGATGGCTGCCCATAAATTATGGTATAATAATACGTTAAAAGAAGTATTGGATAAACCTAGAATATACCATCAACTTGTACCTATGGAAATTAAATATGAATATCGAACGACAAAAGTAAAATCAGAATAATATAATATTAGTAACATTTTATTTTACAAAAAATAATTAAATTAAAATCTACTATTATAATTTTTAGAATGTTGTACAAAAGCTTAAAGACATTGGTCATCCAGTAAGAAGGATGGATTATACTCGAGGTTCAGCAGCATCGGCTATTAGTAAATCCCCTACAGGAACGATTGAAGCTATGTCAGATTTTCGACGGCCAGGGAATACATCAGGATATTAATATGACTACGTATATATTGTATATGTTTATCAATTGACTATTTTCAGTATTTTTAGTAGGTATATTCTAAAAGCTTAATCTCAAGTATTAATTATTTAAAGTTATATAGGATATGTGATCTAAAATATTTATTAATATAATTAATAAAATTTAATATATTATAATAATACAGTTATTTACTATGTAAATATTGAAATAAAATTATATTAAAATTTATAACGTAATATAATATTTTATAAATGATAAACATTGTATGCCTACTTATAATTATATGTATATAGAAAATACTTCGAATTTTCTACATACATAAATAAATAATTTAATTTTCAAAATAATTTGACTCGTAATTTATAGACATTTGAATTTTAGAATTTTTTTTGATAAATCTTAATAAACAATTATTTACTTTATAATGTTATGCTTTATATGTTTGGAAATTAATTTTAGTTTTATTTGTATAAATATTGATGAAAATATATTTTTTCGTTTAGTTAAAAAGCTTAAATATTTAATTCAGGATCCCATAGAATTTTTATAGCCATAAAATGTTTTTTTTTAATGTATTAGCTCAACTAATTTTTATAAGCACTGAAAGTTAAAATTTTGAAAATATTAATATTATTCAATTTTGTCAATAATTCATGTGTAAATAAATAGTTTTATAAAATTGTAATAAAATATAATATTGTAATAAAATAGTTTCTATTTACACTAATTATAATATAAAAATATGATTATGGTTTATAAAATTATGGATATTTCACTATAATTAAATACATTTTATAGTATTTTTATTAAATTTTTTGAAAAAAATAATTTAGTATATTGCCATTTTGGTTATTTTTATTTATAATTATATAATTCTAATCGTATTATGCATGTTTACCTTATCCCATAATATCATAGAAATTATAAATAGGTATTTAAAATAATTACTTTTTATAACCTATTGTATAATTTGTGCATGATAATAACATAGTCTGTGTTATTGAAATAAAAATTACAATCACATCAGTTGATCAAAGATTATGCTTATACTACAGTATAGATAGCTATATACCATTTAGGCATTTCATATCTATATAGATCTACCAACAGTGTCCTTTTAGCATAATATACAAGATATTTATTTTATATTTATCAAAATAAAACTCTTAAAAAATTAAAGTAAAATATCTTAAAAGTTATGAATTAATTATTCAATAACAAATCTCTTGTGATGTTAAATACATAAATAACTATTTTATTCCAAACAAAATTATTATTTCAAATTATAATAGTAGTCAACAGTACTGGTAAAATTTATCTATTTATGTTAAACTTAATAATTTCACAATATTATCCTTTTCATAGGTTAAAAGCTCTTTAAATATTTTTGTAAAAAAATATTATAGACTAAAATAATTTGAAGACATGTTTAAAAAATTTAAAACTAATGGTGTATGTAACACTATAAAATGCATAGTAGAAAAAGTATTTTCTTTTTAACACTCAAAGTCATAACTTAGTGTAATTTAACTTTAATTAGACAATCAAACTCAAAATAATAAACATCGATGCATTTCCTCGATAGAACATTTTCATGTTTGTCTTTTTCTTATGTATAGAAACTAAATAAGTACTATTTATTACACAATAATACTTACTGAAGATTATTCTTTAATCATTTTTAATTTATAATAAGTACTAATATAATATTATAAAAATAATATCAAAAAAATACTTCTATCTACAATATTATTGAATATTGTCTCTAATAGAAAATTGGTTGAAAATGTTTAGCTATTTATAGATATTTTATTTGTTATTTTATAATTTATATTGATTATTTTTTTTCTTAAATAATAAGGTTTCTCATTTCCTCATTTTCTAGCTTATTTTTTTCACAGAAATTTAAAAATACCCTATGCATATTTGCACACATTTTATTTAGATTTGCTTAAAGTTAAAATATTGATAAAATTAAATATTTAAACAATAAATAATGATTTTAAATACTTGATTTTATTTTTAAATTAATTTAAATTAGCCATTACGCAGGTACATTTTTTTTTTTTTTTAATGGCACATTATATAATATATTTGCCCGCTTATATATTTACACAATTCTGAAGAACATCGGTAATGACTTGTTAATAAGTTAATAAAAATAATACTATTATATGCAATGATTTAAAATTATAAAATATTCTTAAAAAAAAAAGTCTCGCACCGTAAATTCATCTAGAATCGTTTTTTTACACATTATGATTAAGTCTAAAATGATTACCGTTCCAATCTTAATTATCTATAACTTTTAAATTGTATTATCCATCACATAATAAGTGAATGTGAGTTTCATGACACACAAGTGAATAATTAATCCTGTAGTATTATATATACCAAATCATATATATATTTAATCTATACAACGTTTTTATACTTTATTAGTTTGGTATAAAATAATAAAAACAAACAGTTGCGTATTCAGTTTATAATTGGTTGCGCTGATGATAATACGTATATTACGTATAAATTGGTTTGACAAAATGGTCATAATAATACAATAAATTTAAAAACACTCATTATTTTTTTAGCTTTTTGATAAAAACTTGGAAGACAGACCACTTCGCTGACGCCATGGCTATTTCCAAGTATGTCCAGCTTTTTTATGTTAGTATTATCTAATTACCTTAAAAGCTACTATTGTTTGGTACTATCTAATACCTACAATAAAAATAGAAATGTACGTGTTACGTTAGTAATATATACTTTATGTTCAGAGCATTTTTTAGCAGGGAAATTAAAAAAGTGTTAACAGGAATATTCTTCTCAAATTCATTTTTTTCCGTGTAGTAAAAAAAAAAAAAAAAAATGATTTTCAAAAAAAGTGATGTATATGTTAAAGCGAGTATATCTTGCTTAACACTATTAGTTCTCCAGTTTCTTGTGTAACACAATACCATAATAATTCTAAAATTACCTTTTTAAAAAAGGAGGTATGTGTAAGAAAATTTAACTAGCTTAAACTTTTAAAAGATTCCTGCTAAAAAGTGCTGCAAACAATAAATACATAATATGTTTTTTTTAAAAAACTGTGTTACAGTAAAAATATTTTTAAGCAGTGTGGATGTACTTATTTAAAAAAAATATAAACAATATCTTACAAAAAAAAAAAAAACATTATTACATTAATCTATTGGTGAAAAAACAAATGTTTATTTAACTGCTGTTAGTACAGTGCACATGAATCCAATTCAATCATTTATTCCGTTTTAATTATGATACAATAATTTCATAGTTTAAAATAATTATTTTACTGGTATTAAAAACTAAAGTAATAAAGACATATTATTCATAAAATTCATGGCATCATTAAACTTTGTGTCAAATTTTGTAAATAGAAAATATTATAACGCATGCTCTGAAATAATATAACCACATGCAGTCTATGACTCACACGGAACGTTAATATTTTATTGTTTTTAGATTACAATCCATTCGTTGCTTTCTTTTGCTAGGACTATCGATATTGATCGCTATTGTTTCACTATGGGTAGTAATCTCACAACATAACGTCGCAAATGAAATCCCTGACCCAGAATTTGAATTGCCACCATCGAGTATGCCGATGGGTTTGTACAAGAAAGCCGGAGTAGTGTCAAATGGTGGACCGTGCGCACAAATCGGAATGTAATATTATAATGTATTGACATTAATAACCTGATTATACTCTAAAATTAATTGTTTTGTAAAAGGGACGTGATGGCCAAAGGTGGAAATGCCGTTGATGCTGCTATAGCTACAATTATATGTGACGGTGCTCTATGTCCTCAATTTATGGGTTTGGGTGGAGGATTTTTAATGAGTATATACAATGCCACAACCAAAAAAGTAATGTCAATCAATGCTCGTGAAACAGCGCCATTAGCTGCAACAGACTCCATGTTTGTAAGACCTAAACTTTCTGTGCACGGTACAACCATTAAAACAAGAAAAAAATTTTTCTTATCTATATTTAAATAAATATTTTCAATTGATAATCAATATGAAAATAAATATCAATTTTATTCACTATTATATTTCAGTGCATAATGTTTCTAAATGAAATGAAAACTAAATTATGTATAACGTAATTAAACATATTTCAAATTGAGTGATACTATACAAATTTTAATTTAAAAATATAGGTGGTTTGGCGGTTGCAGTTCCAGGAGAACTTAAAGGCTTTTCGACTATCTATAGTTTATACGGTGGAAATGTTCCATGGCCATCACTATTTGAGCCAACTATAAAGTTATGTGAGGAAGGCATGACAATCAGCAAAACTTTAGCAATTAGTTTAAAACATAACGAAGAATTGATCAAAAACGACCCAATGCTCAGGTATGAAAGCCAAAATTATTTTTGCATATACTTTTTTGACTAAAAATCTATAAAATGATTTATTAGCCATAAAATATGTTTAATGTTTTAATCAATTTTAATAAGTTTAAAATTTGAATAAGATAAAATTAACTTTCATCGAAAATAATAATATTAAGAACAAGATAAACTGATATCTATTCGGTAAAGACTTTACTATGATCTTCTTATTTTGTAATTAAATTCGAGATTTATGAAATTATGAATTTTCGATGAACTTGATAGATATAATGATATTTATTAATGTTTCATTACCCTCGATATAAATACTCAGAAAATTAATACATTAATTTTACTATTAAATATAAAATACTTATACATTTTTCTCTTTCTACCCTAAATACTCATGTAACTACCTTGTATATTTAAAGGTAATTGGAATTTATTCCGTAATAAACAATTTATTATTATTATTATGAAATACATAGTTAAATTTATGCAAAAAATGTTTTCTAGAAAAGCATTCTTCAACGAAAAAACTGGACAAGTAAAGATAACCGGGAAATATCGTTTCTAAGTTGAGAAACTATGAAAGTCTTAGCAAACGAAGGTAGTGATGCCTTTACAACGGTTCGTTAACGAAAACTTATTAAAAGACTTAAAGAGTAAATGGGATAATCACAGAAGATTTAGTCAACTACAGTGAATAT